CCCCCCTCCACGACCATTGCTCCCCGGGCGCTGTGCAATAGCTGCCCACTGCTCCTAGTACTAGGATGTGTTAAAAGCAGAGAACACATTTCACTGTGTGTGCTGTGTGCTCTGCATGTGAGACCATTAAAGAGGGTTTCATCCCTCCAATTCTATATTCATGCAAAAGCCTTCAATACCTTCAAAAATATTTTGATGTAGTAAAACCATAACCAGTAGGGGAAGAGTTAGACTTTACTTTCTGACAGGGAAGCTATTTAAACATTTTGTTCGGTGTTGCACTTTGTTGACATTTTGCATTTAGTCATGCACAAACATGTTTATTGTGTGCATGTTGTGGATCCGATCACGTTCCAGTTAATCCGTGAATCTGTGCGCCCATACATGTATAAAGAGCGTGTTTACTAGGTCAGCGTTCGTTTCAACCGCTTTGTTTTTAATATTTTGAATACACAACTGCCTGATTCATTAAACATGTGAAAAGCGTGATGCAGCGGAGTGGGAGGGGCCTTGTTGACATGTGACGTGTTTTTTGTACAGATCTAGGCTCTGATTGGCTGTTCAAGTGAAAAGCAAGCCAAGTCGATTCTGATTGGTTCTCAGTGGTTTCGTTCAACGGTCGGAGTCTGCGCAGTAGGCCCAGCGCTGAAATTCAAAATTTGAACAGTTTGTTTTGTCAGAGAGAAGAGGAACCGAGAAGAGGAGAGAGGAGCTCCATTTCGTCCTGTTTTAGTTCACAAACAGTGTGTAACTCTTGTTCAATACAACGCTTATAATCGTCTGGATAAACTGTCCAAAATGGATCCATTTACTGAGGTAAGTCGGAGAGCTAGCTAAGCTAAACAGTTACCTTGGTAGATAGAACGTCAACGGCTGCTAATGCTAACGTAGCATTTCACATTTATCCAGAGGGGGGAGAAGATCTTGTACTTTAATACAAATAGAAGTACTCAGATCTTGTACTTGAGTAAAAGTACCAGATTGTAGGAATAAAAGTAGTCATTGTGCAGATTGGTCCATTTCAGAATAATATATATGATATGTTTTATAATGATTGATCATTTCAAGGTGCAGCTAGTTTGAATGACTTTGTATACGGCAGGGTAGCTTGAGAATTTACTCCAGGTGGAACTAAAGTCTGATTTAAGACTTGATTATATTTCACATCATTCATCCACATCTGTGAAGTAACTAAGGGATTAAATACATGTAGTGGAGGAAAAGTACATGATTTACCTCTGAATTGTAGAGGAGTAGAAGTACACAGTAGCTACACTTTGAAATACTCAAGTAAAGTACAAGTACCTCAACGTTGTACTTAAGTACAGTACTTGAGTAAATGACTTATCAAAAACATCTGAAATAACTGTAACAACCAGTGGTGGAAGAAGTACTCAGATATTGTACTTAAGTACGGTACTTGAGTAAATGTACTTAGTTACTTTACACCACTGGTAAATCTTTAACCAGGCTCCTTGCTGAGGTTTTGATTCAGGACTATAACACCTTCTCCTATGTACGTTATCAATGCTCTTAACCAAAGACACCACCTGTACAATGTCATGTTATTTCCATAAATCAGCTTGTCTCCATGTAAGGCAATGGTATGTGCCAACACTGGAATTTGTCCAAAGCCCCTTCTGGTTTGATTTGCTCTTGCTGTCTTGAAGCATTCTTGCTGACACGGCAAGCTAAAAGTAGGAATGATTTATATCTTATAACGGTTCCTGTTACTCCAGGATCCGAGCCAGTAGGGTTTGAAAATTCAAATCCATGAACCGCAAGCAGGAGTGGCTAACAGCTGAGGAATGCTGTAAAATGTGACTTCACTTTTTCCACGCTGCCCGGAGAAGTTGTGAAGGCGGTGCAAACTGAGGCTGCAGGAATGTGTTTGGACTTGCACGGTTAATGCTCAAACAGTAATTCAGAGTGTGTGACATGGCCGGAGGGAATGTCATGTAAAGAAAAGAGGGCGAGCAAACAGAGGCCTCTTTATTTGTGGTGGAGAGCTGATTTGTGTAACTAAAGTTGTTAAAGTAGCTCATAAAGAAGCAGATAAAGTACTGTACCCTGTTTCACACGTTTACACAATGTTCAACTATTCCTTTAATGACATGAAAGTCTATTACAGCCTGCAGGAACTTCATTTGTGTTCATTCACATGTTGTCCATTTAAAATCTCAAAATGTTCAGTTATTCCTGTCGATGTTTATGGTTGTTGAACAAACCCATGGCACGCCTCAGAAAAAAAACCTCTCGACTGTACACAGAGATGGGCAAAAACAGGTCTAGTTCAGGTTATTTATTTGTACCCGTAGGTAGACTTGGTTTGCATATGAAAGACACACATTCTAAAAACACAGACAACAGAGAAATACCAAAAAAAGGGCCTCCTGCTCGGTCACATCTAAAAAGATTTAGAAAGTACAAACATGAAACTGGGCAGCGATATTAGGCGTCAAATCCCATGTCCCTGCTATAAATAATACCTTTGTGCGACTCATAATGTGACATGTTAAGACTGTCAAATAGATCACTGCAGTTGGAGGTCGTATTGTAAGCAGCCACTGGAGCAACCATCTGAAATGTTTTTTTGTCGTACCAGAAACTGTTGGAGCGGACCCGGGCACGCAGAGAGAACCTGCAGAAGAAGATGGCCGACAGACCGAACGCAGCGAGCAGAGCGATGGTGAAGAGACCGCTGGCCGACACCAACAGTGTGATCAGCGAGACGCTCAGCGAGAAAGGTGAAGACACTTCCTTGAATAAATCTTCTCATGAACTTCAAAAGCCTTATTTAGTCCATTAGTATTCACTTCACCAAAGGCATCTGTTACGTTCCCTCCTAAACTCGGGGTACAAAGGGAAGGAACACAATTTAAGAATAACTGAGAGATAGAAAAATGAGTAGATAGTCACCAGCCAATTTACACAAACAACTTAAGACAAACTAAGAGCAACTTTCTCCTAAAAGCAAGTGATTAAAGCACCTTGAACTGCACTTATTGTATGAAAGGGGCTTTACAAATACAGATTATTATATTATCAGTAAAGTGCTCAATACACAAAGTTAACCTGGAGCACACCTCCTTAACAGAGGAAATGCTCTATCCCTCCTTTTCTTCAGCAGATTAGCACTTACCAGGTTTGTTTCTGAACTCAAATCATTTTGACTTTGCAAATCTTATATTCTGCTCTGCCTTTGTAGAGAGCAATAAAATATGTATTGCTCTAGTGGCGAGAGTCATTTTTGGATTGGACTCAGAGGTCATGGTTAAATGCCCTTTCACATTCAGAAAGCTGTAGTTCTAACTTCCTGTCACTTTAAATACTTCGCTAAATCTTTAATCGAATCAGGATTCCTTTTTACATTTACATTATTACAGCAAAAGTAAAGATAGAGACAAAAAGTATTAGATAAATGGCATGCACATAATATTAACATTAAGTACACATTCAGGTAGAGTAATAGAAGCAGCAGCAATTAAGTGTTAAATGTAGTATGGTAGAATCTAGATAACAGAGTAACAATTATATATTTCAGAGTTACATATAGACTCTTTTGTTACAGTATGGTCAAACTAAGAAGGCAGCCAGTACTACTAATAATTTTAACGAGGAACATGTTGCTCATCAGTGTGTGGTACTCTTCACTAATACTCCCCCTCCCATCGCCTCCTCCCAGTTCCACAGCTTTCCTCCAAGCCTTCCCCCTCCAAGCGCCGCTGCTCGGAGGAAAATGTAGCCGGCGAGGAGAACCAGGAGCCAGCGATGAGCCGATCTGTGGCCCCCGTGCTCTCAGACCCTCCCACAGATAAGAAACCCCCAACGGGACCCAACAGTGTCCGCCACGCCTCGTCTCTGGAGAGGAACGCACCCCGACCCGTGGAGAAGATGGTGGTTGTGTCTCCTCCTGTTGCTCCCAGCGTCAGAGAGGAGGAGATGGTTCCTGTGAGCTCGACCCCTCAGAGGAAGGAGGATCCAGAAGAAGATGAAGCTCCTCCCACTGCCGGCATGAGGTCTCGTCTGCAGAGGCTCGCAGCGCAGAGGAAGTACTGGGATGGAGACGGTGAGAATATCTTTTCTGGGCTCTTTGAGATACCTTTTTAGTATTTTCATGGATTATTTCAAAAGTATATAATCCCTCTGTAGCAACTGAAACAATGCATTTACTTTTGTGCACGTCTTTTCTGAGTTTGCTTCAAATCTATAAAAAATGTATATCTGTTTAAACATTTGTTTTTCTTTCATCCTATATTTTGCTTCTGGGCATCTGGATGTTTTTTATGCATTTTATTTCAGGGAAAAACGGTTTAATTTTCCCAAACACTTAATATATTATCATAAGAAAACGTCTATATCTTAGGAACTACAACACACTTAATCTAGTTGACCATGTGGTGCACTCATTAGTCACTTGCCTTTTTTTATTCCAGCCATCTTTGTTAAAGCAGATATATTTGTCCTGTTTTTTTTATTTGTTTCCTCTTTGTTGAGATAAAGGCTTCCTGATCCACTTTCAGGAATTCATAGTTTGCAATATGTAACTGAATGATGTGAGGTTCATTATGTATGTCCCTCAGTTATATAGATTCACATCCCTGCTAAAATCCCACACTTTCCCACCTTCAGACTCCTCTGAAGCGGCTCCAGACCCCCCGTCTCCTCCGAAGAGACACCCTGAGGCCCCCCCAGCAGCTGCAGCACCCCCCACCCCGTCCTCAGGACCTCCTGCTGGGAGGAGAGGGCGTCTCGCTAACCTCGCCGCCACCATCGGGTCCTGGGAGGACGACCTGAGCCACGCTGCGTTCCCCACGGAGAAGCCTCAGGAGAAGCAGAGCTCTGCCGTCCCCATGTCAGCAGGCAGAGGAGCTAACGTGGCTATCGGAGCTAAGCCAAGTCCTGCAGGCAGCAAGTCTACACCCAGCGCTCAGGTACTTCATGCTTTGGTATAAAAATGTCTCACTGACTGTTTATAAACGAGCCGTCTGGCTAAAAAAAGTCTGGATAAAGACTTTTAGGAGTTTATTTAGTATTTGTTTGTGTTTTTATTGAATTATCCTAAGCAAAAATACCAGACATTTGCTTTAACTAGCAAATCAGTAAAACTTCACAGTTGAGTAGTTAAAGCAAATGTCTGGTATTTTTGCTTAGGATAATTCAATAAAAACACAAACAAATACTAAATAAACTCCTAAAAGTCTTTATCCAGACTTTTTTTANATGGCTAATTTTAAAATCAGTCATTAAAAAGAAAAGGTAAAATAAACATTAAAAAAAAAAATACATGGATAAAAGTTACAGTGCAGTCTAAGATATGAATAGTTCAATTAAAAGCAGCGACAAAAAGAAAAGTCTTCAGCCTGGATTTAAAAGTAGTAAGAGTTGCAGCGGACCTGCAGGTTTCCGGGAGTTTGTTCCAGATATTTGGAGCATAATAACTAAACGCTGCTTTACCATGTTTAGTTCTGACTCTGGGGACAGAAAGCTGACCAGTCCCTGAAGACCTGAGAGATCTGGATGGTTCATAATTTAGCTGGAGGTCAGAAATGTATTTTGGGCCTAAACCATTCAGTGCTTTATAAACCAGCAGCAGTATTTTTAAATCTATTCTTTGACACACAGGAAGCCAGTGTAAAGACTTCAGAACAGGAGTGATGTGATCCACTTTCTTAGTGTTAGTGAGGACTCAAGCAGCGGCGTTCTGAATCAGCTGAAGCTTTCTAATAGATTTTTTAGTGAGACCTGTGAAGACACCATTGCAGTAGTCGAGTCTACTGAATATAAAAGCATGGACAAGTTTTTCCAAATCCTGCTGTGACATTAGTCTTTTAATCTATATGTTCTTTAGGTGATGGTAAGCTGA